TGATGCCTCCTGCTTTGTTCTTTTTGTCCACAATTGCTTTTACTATTCTGCATCTCTTTTAGCTCCACATAAATATTAATATTTCTTCTAATCCTTTTGAAAAAAGCTCTTGTTATTTTATTGGGATTGCATGTATATCAGTCTTGGTAATATGGTCATTTTGACAATATTGATTCTACCTGTCCAGCAACACAGGGTGTCTTTCCATGTTCTGATGTCCTCTTCGATCTCCTTTTTCAGGGTACTATAGTTTTCATTACAGAAATCTTTCACTTCCTTGGTTAGGTTGATTACTAAGTATGTAATATTTTCAAAGCTATTATAAATAATATTGATTTCCTAATTTTTTCCTCAGTGGGTTTATTGTTGATGTATAGAAACGGTGTTAATTTGTATTTCACAACCTTGTTGAATTTATTAGTTCTAGTAGTCTTTTGGTCGAGTTTTTTGTGTCTTCTATGTAAAGGCTCATGTCATCCTTTGTGAATAAGCATAGTTTGACTCTTTCTTTTATTATATTTTTCATTTCTTTTTCTTTCCTAAATATTTGAGTACTATTATTTTGCACCCACGATGGCTGACATTTATTGAAGAATTCACAAGATGTCAAGCTCAGCACCCTTGCTTTTTTCACTGTATCAATTTTATAGTCTCACAACAGCTCCGAGGAGGGTAAAGTTCATGATTCTCAAATATTTCATGGATGATGAGAAGGAGGCCCAGAGATAAGGAGGGAGGTACACTGTAATACCATTAATAAGTATGGAGCAAGGTTGAACACAGATAAGCTCCTGTTCAAAGCTCACATTTTTAACCATCAATTAACACTAAATTGCTTTCCTAACCTGAGATACAAACTTGGCAATAAACCATTGATGTGGGAAAGAGCACAGGGAACTGGAGGCTCATGGGGAGACTGTGAGCATGACTATCACAGCATTTAAGCATTGGAAGCACTTCATACATTTTGTAGTCAATCTTTCCACTATCCTTGGCTGTCAACTAGAAAAAGTTATCTGTTGCTACAATTTTTCTATTTTCTGAGTATCTTACAAATGACAGCATTTAGTACCACAGCCTTTGACGCAGGTCTTTTTTACTAGTACAGTGCATTTGAGATTCACTTCTATTACTTCATGTATCAGTAGTTTCTCTTTGTTATTGAATAGCATTCATTGTATGGTTATACCCCAGGTTTTTTAAAAAAAACTTTTCTTTTTTGGTACCGGGGATTGAACTCGGATCCTTGTGCTTGCAAGGCAGGCCACCGAACCGCTGAGCTAAATCCCCTGCCCTGAGAAACTATTTTCTAATTAAAGGATACTTAACTCCTCTCCCCAGTATCCAGGAATCACTCAAATCCTCTATAAACGTTCATGTATAGAATTCTGTGTAAACATCCATGGGTGATTTATGCATTCACCAGGCCTGAGAACAAATTATCTATCAAATGTTCGCTTCAGCTTTGCAATCTTCTTCATTCCATTCTAATTTTTCCATTCCATTTTGCATCCCAATTTAGTGATTTTTGTCCTTGTCTTTCTTTTCTGAACATCTCTCTGCCCATGTTAGTACTTTTTTTTCCATTAAGTTTATTGGTACATTTAAAGCAAACAGTAGTTACATTTATCGTTGTGATCTTGTACCTTTACATGACAGGTCTTGTTTTTTTCCCTTTCCCCTGCCCTCCCTTCACCCTCTTCACCCTTCCCTATTTACAAAGACTTTGTTTCCTTTTTTTTTTTTCATTTTTTTCATCTCCCTTATTTCCTTTCTCCTCCCCTTCTACTTCCCTTTAGCCATTTTCTTCCTATTTCACACTATCGATTAGCATTTTGAAAGGGCCTGGACAGAGGAAAGCTGGTCACCTTATAGCCACCAGGAAGCAGAGAGCAAAAGGCAAAGCTATGGTAGGAGATACACATCCAGATACAAACCGTATCATACCCTGACAGGGTATTGAAAGATAAATTGAATACTGGCCACCATAAAAAGCTGTAAAAGCTACCACTATATCACCCTTGACGATAGAATAGGAATCTATAATAATATGAAATCAAACCAATAGTAACATACAGTAAACATACCAAGTGCACCTATTCCACCGCTCATGGGAGAAAAGAATTCAGCAATAAACAGCATACAGTCAACTAAAGATCGAAAAAGTAATAAAGTTTAATGGTGGTGGTAATAAACATAGAGGGGTAGGGAAAATGAAAATGAAAGAAGTAAAATTTGAAATAGAGAAGAAAAGTGAGGAGGAGGAGAGAAAAGATAAAAATCCAATTAAAGAATGAAAGTAAGTTCAGAGATAAAAGGAAGAGAAAAGAACATAAAAATAAAGGAAAAACAAAACAGGGCAACAGAAAGAAAAAAGCAAACACCCCAACACCAGCCCCCCACCAAAATGAGACTTCTGTGTGTTTGAGAAAGTGGTTTCTAACCTGAGCCTGTAACAACTGGAAACCCCTAGAGAGCAGGAGGGCTGAGTTCTCTTTTGTTTCAACGCCCACTTTTTTGAGAGTGTGCTGCCCTACCTGTCCTGTCCTTTGAGGCAGGGCCAATCAGGGGTGTGTTGTCTCCCTTAGGGCTGTATTTACCCCAAGCAGCTCCTAGTGCTTGTGCCAGTCCGTGTACCTGAAGTCACCACTGTCTCTGTCTAGCTTACAGCCTGTGGGCTTGGACAGTGGCCCACCTGTTTCAGAGCCCACTCTGTCTGTACACCTCAGGTTGTGGCAACCATCCAAACCCAGGTGTTTCTCCAATCATGTTTTCAGATGAGAAAAGTAAACAGACCACTGAGCACGGTGGTGGACGTAGGAAGCAAAGGGGCGAGGTTATGCAGTCTACTGGGCTCAATCCCAGTGCTTACAGACCCAGCCTGCTCAGAAAACCATATGGGAGGATCCTGGCTGCTCGCCACAAAGGGCAGGACCACTGTCTTTCCGGTCTTGAGCTTGTCCACTGTGTCTTTACTAGCCCGAGCTCACCACTGCTTAAACTTCTCAGGGGGTTGATGACTCACTGTCCTCTCTTTGCAACAGTCCCTTGTGTCCACCTCCCATCCCATCACTGTGGTAGGGTAACCCCAGACCCCCTGAAGTGTAGTTGTTCTGTAGCTTCTGATTCTGAGTGTCTCAGTCTTAAAATATTAACCCTTTCCCAAAATGGTTCCTATCATGGCTGTGTAGAGATGTCTGTCCAAAGCCTCATGCAGTCCTAGGGCTTTTGCAGAGTTGCCTGAATCTAGAGTGTGTGATACTGGGATTAAAGGTGTATGATTACTGAATCAGTACACTGATTGGCTTGGCATTGCCCTAAGCCCTGTAGTCTAGATAACATAAAAGGGACAGAAAGATGCTATTAAGTTTCCTAGTTGTTTTGCTGCCTTCAGTCCACCATGAACTGTTCTGCGCCACACGACCCCGCCTTGAAGCAAGGCAGCTGTGGACTAAAACTGCTAGAAACTGTGAGCTAAATAAACCTTTCCCCCTTTAATTTCAGGTATTGGGTATTTTGTCTCAGCAACGAGAAAAGTAACTAACACAGCTCCTGATTAGTCACTCTGAAATGTGGTTGGTGCTACAGTGAATTTCTTCTACAACTCTAGCCTGCCAAGCAGGAGTCACTTTTAGAGTAAAATCCCACACTATATTTGCAGCATGCAATAACGGTGGGCTTTTCTTGAGTCAAGTGTTTCAGGCCTAGTCCGGTGTTTCTACCTGAGGTTGATGACCTTCTCCAGGCTTATCTTGTGTTTTCAAGGAAAGTCTTCCTCCTCAGGAGCCAAAGTTACCTTTCCAGACTGCTTTATTTTCCCTGTATTGTGTTCCGTTTCTGCAATTTCTCTGATTTCTAGATTTCCTGTTGGCTCTTTTTGATTTGAAGATTTATCTACCTTTTTTTCTTTCTCTTTTCTTTGCTGTGTTGTTTTCCGGACTTCACGGTTTATGGGTCCTGTAGAGGCTGTGATATGCTGCTGGATTTTACTCTGCCATCTTCTAAAACCTATCAACATTTCATGTGCTTATTTACATGCCAGCATTTAAATCTGCTGTCCTCCTATTTTCTATTTTCCTTTCTCTTTTTTCTTCTGCATGCCTTATTTTTTAAATAAGCATATTTTTATTTCATTTTTTCCATGATGGCTGGTTAGCTCTTTTTAGGATATCAATTACCTACAGTTCATGACATGTCCATTTGACTTATCATAGTCACCTTCTATATAATATGTATTACGAAACTTTATTGGGCTTTCTAGGTAGCTTCAGGACAGGGTGTAGTCACTAGAAAAACAAACCACTTGAGTATATGGCTGTGATCTGGGGAACGGTGACCCTTGGAAGGAGAAGGGACTAGAGCCTGACATTAATCACATGGCCAGGGATTTAATCAAACTTGATACAGAGTAATTTGGTATAGCCCCTGAGCCAAGGCCCCTGGAGCTGTGCAGGTGACGCATGGGTCCATGTGCTCAGGGGACACAGGACGCACCCTGGGGAGAGGCTGGGGAGGCTCTGTTCCCTCCCGGACTCTACCCTGTGGGAGCCCCTATAATCATCCTCAGTTGAGAGGACAGCAGTCAGTCCCCTGTCTTGTGCGAGTTAACAAAGACAGTCGTTGAGGTGGAAACTGTAAGGCTTTGGTAGCTCTGTGCCTGGGATCAAGGACACAGCCCAGACCTGTTCTTTACTCTGCTTCGCTGCCAGAGTCCTTAGCCCAGGGCTCAGCTCCTACTCTGGACACACCGGTTCAGATCCTGCCTGGTCTGAAACCCGAGCCTGCTCACAGCGACCTCTCAGCTGCCAGAACACCCTGTCCTGGCCTCCTGTGCCCTCCCCTCACCAGTAACCCCCAGACAGTGAAATGTCTTTCACTTTCATTGCCCAGCAAGGGCTCTGTTTCTGGGAAGAGGAGCCTCTAGAATTTCGCTTTTACTTTCTGTGTCTACAATCAGTATCCTGCCCTTTAGGCTCCTCCCTTCCCTGCTGTTTGTCAGATTCCTGAGTGAGGAGGGCAGAAGCCAGAGATCATTTAAGTCCTCAGAGTCCTCACATGCGTTCAGACGTCGGTGGTGAGGTCGGCACAGTCTTCCTCTGTGCCTGCCACTCGAGCCCGGCCTGCCCTGCCAGGGAGGACAGGTGTGGACAGAAGGTGTCTCCTGTGCCTGGGCTCCACCACACCAGCACGTTCAGCTCTTCTAGGAGAACTGTAGGAGAGCAGTTCTATCACCAGAAATCTGTCTTCTGCAAGGAGCTGGTGAGTGAGAAAATACTATGGAATAGAGGGCTCAGAATCCATATACCAGTCATTCTGACAGTAGACAAACCTAGATGCTCGATTTGGGGTGCTTGGGATTTAAAAGCTGAGGAGGGCGAGGTGCATGGACAGCTATAAATCACACAGACTTTTAAGCATTTGGGCACTTTCACCTCTTTTGGTCACACACAAACTGTCCCCCTTGCACGGCTGAAGGATCGGGGAGAGACAGCAGGCTTGGTGCGCAGGGTCCTGCACTGGGAGCTCCTGACACCTCATACCCGACTCACATCAGAACCCTCAATCAGAGGACAGCTCTGCCATCAAGGCAGAGCTGCCAAGGTCCCTGTGTCCCATTCCCAGTCCTGGGCACCTCTCTCACCATACACTGGGTGTGGCCTTTGCCTCTTGGCAAAGAGTTCTGCACTTACACTAAGATTCCCCTGGAAGCCAGCTCTGAGCCTCCAGTACTCAGGGTTAGACCACGCTTACCTCACAGCCTGTCTGTGACTTTGACCCTTCATTTGGATGTGAGAACCCTATGACTGGTCCTGCCTAGCCAGGAGGGTGAGACAGGATTTAGGTATAGATCTTTCTCCTATAGATATTCCTTCCTGCTGCCTCTGCTTCTCTCATACTCCGAGAGTGTACTCTCAGTGACTCTCAGACCAGGGCCACAGTGCTCTGCCCCAGCTACCACGCTGTAATTGTTGAATAAAAACTAATATTTAACAAATCCATTTCCATCACAAGGCAATCTGTGAGATTTGAAGAAGCAGGGATTTTCTTTTGTTGAAATGTGCTCAGCATACAGAATCGGTACGTCCACTTCTCTTCTCTCTTCTGTCGCTTGGCTCCACTCTCTACCTACTGGGCTCCTCAGGACCGGTCAGGCAGACATTGTCACACCCTCGTGTATCCCACATCCTGGCGTCCTCTGTACCTGCATATGTGAGGCTGAGGTCTCAGCCAGTTGGCTCCTCTCTCAGGCCCTGGTCAGCTGTGGTCTCCAGCTCTGGGGCTTGCTGGTTCTGTTCCTGGCACACCTGCTTCCCTGAGGTGCTCTGAGTCGGGCTGCTGTCCCTGCAGCAATGGGTTGCAATAGACAGATGCTCAAGGTTTCCCCTCTCATTTATGTGAAGAAAATTCCTGCAGGAAGTCAGAAGCAATGGCATCACTCCCCTTAGTGGCTAACAGATCCCTCACCGGGACTCCTTTCCCTAGAGAATGCTTGCATCCCTGGTCATGTACAGCAAACCACATCTTGAATGCCTGCTCGGGAAAATTCTTCCTGAAACTGCTTGCTATATCCTGTCCTCCTGGACTGCAGTAGGTCACTTCCAAGATGCCCTGGAGGGTGTATCTGATCCCACACTTGTAGCCAAGGGCATCTCTTCAGCCTGTAGGACATCAACTTGACTTGAAGCGTCACTTGGTAGTATAAAATAACTAACTTTTTCTGTGAGATTCAGGACAGAGGTTTGCCTGTCATTCCTTACATTGAGTCCTGGGCCTGTGGTTCCTTCTGGGGCCCTGCCTTATGGCTTACATCTACTGTTACCAAAGAGGTGGAAATGTCAGGGACTCTAGAACCAGGACAGTTCCACTGACATCAGGACAGCGACAAAGGGAACACCTGCCTTGCCTGACTCCACGCATCTCCCTCTCAGCCCCTTCCTGAAGCCTTTCCTCACACTTTGTCTTCTTCCATTGACGTTCTCTGCCCCAATCAGTCCCCTTGTGGCTTCTTGCCTGATTACTGGCTTTTCTTTTTTTTTTTGTACCAGGGATCAAACTCAGCACCTGTGCTTGGGAGGCAAGTGTGGTGTTGGCCTCTTTCTAACTACAGCTACAGTTTGGTGAGGACTGGGCTATCACTGAGGTATGCTGGCACACAGCATGTTCTCGCTCTTTCTCTCCCTTTTTCTTTTTTCCACTACTTTAATGTTTAGAACAGTTTCAGCTTTAGAGAAAAATTAAGAGAATGGTACAGAGTTTTTCCATGGACCCACCATCCCTTCACAGGCACAGCCTCCCCCGTTACCAGTACCTTCCTCCAGAGTGGTCCATTCCTTACAACACGTGAACCTGCACTGGCACAACATAATCAGGTGATTTAGGGCTGGCTCTTGCTGTGGTACACTCAGGGGCTGGGCACATGCATAGGTCCATGTATCCACTCTCATAATATCATATCAGACGTCTTACTTATAGCTCAAAGTTTAAAGGAGGATGTATTTGTCTTGGCTCACAGTTTGTAGATGTTTCCGTCCATAGTCTGCTGCCTCCAAGACCAGGCTGCATGGCTCAGGGGCACAGCAGAGGACAATTGCTCAGGGCATTGCCATTAGAAAGCAGAGGGTGATTTGGGGGAAAGGAATGGGGACAGATACTTCAAGGTTGTGGCATCAGTGATTCACCTGGTCCCCCAGGTTTTATCTCCCAACATCACTAGCGAGTAATCAGCTAGTGAGTATTGTGCCCCATGTTCCACTTACCTTCCCAAAGCCACACCCCTAGCCTGCTGCCTCTGTCACAGGGTGCTCTGGCCAAGGGGCCCGGCAGTCATGGAGCAGTGGTGACCGAGGGGCGAGGGATGGAGATGGATCCTTTCAGGCCACGACTCCAGTGACTCACCTGTTCTCACCAGGTTTGCCTCTCTCTGCAGTTGCCTTTAACTCCCTAGTGAGTGTCACACCACCTTGTTCCATTTACCTTCCCACAGCCACACCTGTGGAAGCTCTCGATTTGGGGGACATCTAGACACAAGCCGTAACACTCTGTCCCAGGCACCCAAAAGGCTCATGCACATCCCTCTGTGCAGAATGCATTTAGTCTATCTACAAGAGCTGCCAAAGTCCTAACAGTTTCAGCATTCCTGAAAAGTCTTAAGTCCAGAGTCTCCTCTGAGATTTAAGGCAAACTTAACTGTAACCCCCTATAAAAATCTAAAAGAAAATTAAAGACGTATAACAGGCACAGTGTAAACATTTCCATTCCGAAAAGGATAGATAGGGAACTAGAAAGACATGGGACAAAAGCAAGACTGACACCCAGCAGAGCAAACACTGAATCCTGAGGTTCCATGTGCAGCGCTCAGGGCCAGCCGTGGAGAGAGGTGAGCTCCAGCGGGCTTGGGCGTCCGTGCCCCTGCGGCACTGCTGGTGGGTGGAGCTCTCGTGGCTTCCCTCTTGCCCTGGCTTCGCTCACTGCTTCAGCTTCCTCAGACACTGCATGTTCTTGGCTGCTCCAGCTTCCTGGGGTCTTCTCTTACCTTTCACTTTCTCACACTTTCACACACTGCCCTCTCAGACACTCCCTGCATGGCCTCCCAGGCTTTCTTCTGAAATCTGGGTGGCAGCCTTCCTGATCCACAACTCTTATGTTCTCTGTGCACCTAAAATCAGCACCGAGTCAGTGCTGCCAAAGTCTGCCCCAGCAGGAGTAGTAGCCAATGTCTTTTGTGTCTTTCTGGTGGACACAGGGGCCCCCAAGTGCCTGGATGGCTGATCATGGTGAGCTTAATCCTGCAGAATCCATTTCCTTTCCATAGGCTGCCGTATTCTGCCCTGGGCTCTCTTCCTCCCTTGAGTCTGTGAAGGGTAGGCTCTTTCATATCTCCCCCATGCCCTCAAGGAAAACTTTATATTGTTCAGATACAAAATACAGTGGTACCTCTGTTCATAATGCTTGTGTTTGCAAACAACTTGATTTGGAAACGGGAGCGTTTGGAAAAGTTGCATTTTTGCTTGGAAACTCTGCATCAGGTGACAAACACCACTGAGGTCATCTTTCCCACACGCACAGGAAAGTGACCATCTTTTCCAGAACTGTAGAATGAACTAAGTTCATTAACTAAGATATTGCTATACTTGATTCTTCTTAATGCGAGTCTTTTCAACAGTCAAACTCTCCTCCACTCCATCTTTGCAGGCTCCAACTTTACTGAAGTTTCTTTGCTGGCCAAACTAACAACATTTAGACTCATTTTGCTGGGCCCTTTGCTCTTGATTCTCAGAGCTGGCTAAAAGCCCCCAGCAGTACCCATTCCACTGTCTCAACCTTAGGCTTGAAATTTCCTCTTCCAGGGTAATGAGTCCACCATCTGTTAATCTTAGTTTCCTTCAAATCTCAGGGAAGGAACAAAATATAGACACATTTTCAGCATAACACACATGGCCTGGAGCACAGATGCCCGTGGAGTCCTTGTTCTCACGTGCAACCTTCCACAGTGGTTTTCTCTACTGGCTTTTTAGTGAGTATGCTGGCCTTCTAGACTCTGACCTGAGTCTCCATCAACCTTGGTTTACACAGTTCTAGAGCTGTTTCTCCAGCCAGCACGTCAGACCTTTCCCAGCTTCTCCCAAGGCCAATTCTAAAGCTTCTACAACACACAAGCAGATACTGTCAAAGCAACCACCACACTTCGCTGGCCCCCAAATCTGTCCTAGCTTCCTCCTCATCACTGAGACGCAATACTGACACCCACATTGCAAAGGAGGAAAGGTTTATCTGGACTCACAGTCTGTGGAGGTGTTCGTCCATAGTTCACTATAAACTTATCTGTGGACAGATCAGATGAAGCTTTGGGGTATCTAGACATAAATAATAACAAGTATTTTCACTACACTAGGAAGTCTGTGTTGTTCCTTTTCACCCCTTCCAAGCCAGGACAACAACTGATCTCTCACCTTTTTCCATGTTTTTGGTTTGTCCACATCTCATATAACTGGAATCATTTGATAGGTAGTCCTTTCATACAGTAATATGTATTTGAGTTTTAGCTTCCTTCACATCTTTTCGTGGCTAGACGTTTCATTTCTTTAGTCTGCTAAATAGTATCCCACTGTCTACAGCTACAAGAGCTTATTAAACAGTTCTTCTGAAGGACATCCTGAGTGCTGTCAAAGTTGTGATTATGAATAAAACTTCTAGAAACTTTGAATGTCCACCTATAGTGGAGAAGCACTCTGCTGTCCCGTATCCTTGCCGGCATTTGTTTTGTTGAATCTGCACTGTTGCCATTCCAGCTGGCCTATAGTGGCTTCTCACCATTATTTTCCTTTGTATTTCCCTCACAGCATGAGTTAGAGTATATTTTTATACTTCTACATCTTCTCTAGTGAGCTGTGTGCTAAAATCCTTGTCCTAATTTTTAATCATGTTGCTTATTTTCTCATTGTTCAGTTTTAGAGATCACTGCATATTTTGTACTATAGTCCTTTACCAAGTGAGAGTTTTGCTTTTTCTTTTTAATATGCAGTACAGGAGACTGAATCCATAGCATTATCACTGAGCCACATCCCCAGCCCTTTATAGTGTTGTGTTTTGAGACAGGGTCTATAAGTTCTCAGACTGGACTTGAACTTCCCATCTCTTTGCCTCAGCCCCCCACGGTGCTGCTGTTACAGGTGTGCACCACCTCACCCAGGGCTTTCGTAAATGTGTTTTGCCAGTCAGTGAGCCACCTTTCATTCTCTTAATACTGTCTTCTTTACAGAATTTTTTTCATTTTAGCAATGTCCACCTCGTCAGATTTTTCTGTCATGCCTGGTTTGGTGTTGTATGTAAAAACATCACCATACTCTGAGTCCTACAAGATTTCTTTCTTCTTGAAATTTTATAGTTTTGCCTGCAATATGTAAATCTGTAACTGAGTTTTATTTTGGTGATGTAAGTTCCATTCCTGCATGCATTTTCTTGCATGTGAATGTGGTGCAGCAATTCTTCTGAAAAGAGTTTCTGTGCTTTCTGGTCTGCCTTGCACCTTGGTGTCAGATCGGTGGAATCACTGTGTGGCTCTGTTTCCGGACTCTGCTCGGCTGCACTGGTGCCGCTCTCTGTCCTTGACACTGTTCCTCGCACTGCCTTGATGAGCACAGCTGTACAGTTAGCTGTGAAGCAAGCATCGCTGTCTCACTAGAGGCCGGAAGTTGTTTGGTGATGCTCCATCTACTTCCCTTTTCAGACAGCCACCAGGAGGAAACATGATTTTCCTAACAACCAAAATAGCTAAACGCATATAAATAAAGCATAAGGGGCAGGAAAGTGAGATGGAAAATCAGGCCTTGCCGTTCGTGAAGCCTTCCTAAAGGAGCGGGGTCCAGGGCGAAGAAAGAGCCTGAGTGGGGCTGAGTTTGCAGCCACACCAGGAGTCCCAGCAGCGCCTGTGAACAGAAAGGGAGATGTTTTCCATTGTAGTGTGGGCCTGGGGATGAGTCTGCTCTGACTTAACGAAACATCCCAGGTCCTTCCTGCAGAGTTAACTTTGACCTCCTCGCTTGTGTTCTTCCTCTAGTGCCCTCCTCTGCTCACAGCCATGGGCCAGCTGTGGTCCACATCTTCCGACACAGAGAAATGTGCTTTGGGCTCCATTAATGAAAAGTACTTAAAAAATTTCAAGATGGAAAGTAAAATCCTCTCAGAGCAAACTCAAGCCTTGATTGAATTCCACCTGAAGCGGGGGGATGCTCAGAAGGCAGCTTCTGCGATCAGTGACGCCCTGAAAGACATCGAGAACGCTCCACTGAGCATCGCAGTGACAGGGGAGAGTGGGGCAGGCAAATCCAGTCTGATAAATGCCTTGCGAGGCATGGATCATGAGGAAGAAGGCGCAGCTCCCACGGGGCCAACGGAGACCACCAAGTTCAGAACTGAGTACAAACACCCGACTCTTCGCAATGTGTCCATATGGGACCTGCCTGGTGTGGGGACCACCAACTTTCCACTGAACACATATCTGAGGGAAGTAAAGTTTGCCGAGTATGACTTTTTCCTGATTGTCTCTGCCACACGCTTCAAAGACAATGACGCGAAATTAGCCAAAGCTATTGCACAAATAAATAAGAAGTTCTATTTTGTTCGAACGAAAATCGATAATGAATTAAACAGTGAACAAAAAACTAAACCTAAAACCTTCAAAAAGGAAAATGTCCTGAAAAATATGAAAGATGAATGTCTGACACAGTTGCAGGTAGCTAAAGTGACGGCTGCTCAAGTCTTCTTAGTCTCCAGCCTGGATAGGGCTGACTACGACTTCCCTGAGATGGAGAACACCCTTCTGAGGGACCTGCCAGCTCACAAGCGTCACATCTTCATGATGTCTCTGCCCAGTGTTACAGAAGCTGCCGTTGATCAGAAGCGAGATTCCCTAAAGCAGAAGATCTGGTGGGAGGCCGTGTGGGCTGCAGCATCAGCCACCATCCCTCTCGTAGGCCTCTTCAGTGATGGTGATATAGAAAAGCTGCAGGACACCTTAGCCCTCTACAGGTCTTCCTTCGGGCTGGATGATGCATCGCTGGAAAAGATTGCCAAGGATTTGCACGTGTCCGTGGAACGGCTGAAGGCAAACCTTCAGTCTCCCCACTTGATGCTAGCTGAGAACAATGAATCCTTCGGGGAGAAGATGAAGCAGTACATGGAGAAGGCTCTTTCACTCGTGGGAGGGCCCCTTGCTACTGGTGTTACCTTTACAAAGACGTTTTACTTGCAAAATTATTTCCTTGAGATTGTGGCAAGTGATGCGAAAGCTCTACTGAAAGGAGATCTCTTCAGTGCCTCTGTGGGCTCTGAGGAGGGTTGCGGCAAATAGGGAAACTGAGGCAGCCAGCTTCTGCCTTCACCCCACTGTTTTTTGGCTTGGTTTGATTTGGTTGGTTTGGTTTTTCTTTTTTGGAGACAGAGTCTCACTATGTAGTCCAGGCAGGTCTTGAACTCACTCTTCATCCCAGGCTGGCATGAGCCCCAGTGATGGGGTTACAGCCAGGCACCCCAACACCTGGCAGCCCTGCTGTTCTCATGGCTCTGGGCCCATCTTTGTCTACAGTTCTCCAGATGCAGCTGGGCCTGGTTGTGATGCTGCCCCTTCATAGGAAAAGAAAGTATGGGAAGCTGGGGTTTTATGCTAAGAGGAGAGAGCATCTCACTGTGTGCTGCTAACTTGGTACTCAGTAGAAAACTGTGGAGCTGTCCAACAATGCTGCTTCTGTTGAAGGGACTCAGCCAACAACGTGAGAAAGTTACTGCTGGAAGAAAGGCAGGCTAGTTTGAGAAGCCCTGTGTATGACAATGCAGCAAATGGAAATGGGCAGAATGTGTTTAGCTCAGTAAGGTCTCAGGGCAACACAATAAATGTATTGGTTAATGCTGAGGAACACACATTATTTTGAAAACTGGTGTACAAGGGAGAACTCAGTGTTCATCCTGCTTTTCATGTGAGAGCGCTGAGCTTGCTTTTCCTATACAGACTGCAGAGTGACCACACTATTGATGAGACCTTCCTCTTGTATCAATTTTCCACCAATAAATGCAGAAGGAATGCTGCAGTTAGAATATTAGCATTTCCCAAAGCTTAAAGACATAATCAACCATGTCCAAGCTCACCAAATTGTACATTTCTATGTATTAGTTATACTTCAGTAAATTGGGGCAGGGAGACTTGTTGGCCCACTCCTGTATTCCAAGGAGTCTGTGAGGCTGAGGCAGGAGAATAACAAGTTTGAGCTCTGCCTGGGCAACTTAGTGACTTAGCGAAACCCAGTCTCAGAGGGGCAAAAAAAAAAAAAAAACATAAGTGTTGGGGAATAGTTCAGTACAAAGACCCTGGACTCAGCCCTCTGTGCAGAAGAAAAATTAAAGAAAAATAGTGAATCTAGGTAATGCGCACCTCTGACTGCTAAAACAGAGCCATGAGCAGATATTATGCACCTCCCAGTGGAAGTGCAGACATCAGCAAGAAGTTTTCTGCCTCACCCACTTCAGAGATCTCCCAGAAAGGGTTCCGGAAGTCCTGAGAACACATGGCCATGTTCAGAGTGTCCTGAGCGCAAATGAATCAAAATCAAGGACGATGGGAAATTACCCCATAGATTTTCTCCAGTAATTGTAAGGGGACAGAAAAAGCATGTGAAACGAAATTTATAGATGGATGAAAGGGGAATTTAGAGGATTAGCGAGTAACAGCAATATGTGGACTTTATGTAGCACTTGGTTCAGATATTAAACATCCTCCTGACAAAACTGTGGAAATGTAAGCGCTGGGCACTTTGTGATGCGAAGCAATGATTGATAGTCATCATGCCTGGTAATGATGCTGTTTTTAAACATTTAATTCTGGGCATGGTATTGCTCACCTGTGATCCCAGAACTTGGGAGGCTGAGACAGGAGGATCACCATGAGTTCAAGGCCAGCCTGGGCTATATCGTGAGACCCTGTTTCAAAACAAACATGCAAAGAAAACATATAAAAAGTGTCCTTTCAGTCACTGAGCAATTCCTAAAATATTTAAAGCTGTTATAAAGTATGCAATGTTCATTAAAAATCATCCTGGGGAACTGCCATGTGTTGCTAATTATCAAGCTGAGGGATACAGCTGTAGTTATGCTATATCTCCTTGGTATATATGAAACTTTCCACAAAGAAGATAGATATAAGAAATGCTAAGACCCAGAGAGCAGAATTTTAAATTCCCAAAATAGCACTATTTTAAAAGGCAGTTTAGGGCCAGGGTTGTAGTTCAGTACCGCACCTGCTTGGCAAGTGCAAGGTCCTGAGTTTGATTCAGAGTACAGAAAAAAAAAAAAGACTAGATGAGCAGAAAGATAATTTAGTCTGTCTACATGACATAAGACGGCCCTGTTGTGTGCAAATATCCATTTATTTGACTTTTGACACAGTCTTGTGGCATGCCAGCCAGCGAGGACAGCTGTGTCTTATCGTCTGATTATTGCCATTTTTTCGATCATACTACGGCTTTCTTCTGCACTACTCTGTGCACCTAGCAGAGTGGAGCTTACGCTGTGTGCTGAAATGCTAAGAAATCACCTCAGCTCATTCATGCTGATCCCAACTAACCACGTTTAAAATTCTTCATTTCCGCAGTCCTCACATTCCATCCTATCTTTCCCAGCAAAAACCTGTCTCCAGGTAAACAAATTCGTAACGTACCAGAGATATAGATCAGTGCAAAGGCCTTGCCTTGAGTTCTCCGTGCCTAAGGAAATGGAAAGGAAAAAATGTTTTAAATTAATGAATCTCGGTTCTGAGCCCCTCTGACGAACACAGTCCCGAGCAGGTATGTTGCGCCCCCAGTGGAAGTATCGCGCAGCAGTAAGAAGTCTGAGCGCGCTCCCTGCCCGATTGCAGGCCCATGGCATCCGCACAGGGAGGAGTCCCTCAGGACTCCAGTCCTTTCGGCCCGCCTGGTGAGGATTGAGAAGCCAGAGGACCCCCCAGGCCATGCGCTTGCTGTGTGAGGCCCCGCGGACGTAAACCTCTACGTGGGGCTGTGAGCCGTCCCGCTCAGGTTCCTGTGTCTGCTGCATTCCAGGGAAACTGCGGGCGTTGCCCCAGCGTCCAGGGCCCTCTGCCCTAGCCCCATCTCAGCACCCCGCGGTGAATCTTGCTTTTGAGCTGTGCCGCCCCACACACTCCCCAAGTGAGACCGACAGTCAGGGAGCTGCTGCTTCACCCCAACTGTGTGCCTTCCTAAGGAATTTAATTTTTTATTCTTAGTACAGGTTTGGAAAACATAATGATCACATTCACCTTGGAGAGTTGGTACATCTTTTGACTTCACTGGGTTTGAAGAGACCTGTTTTAAATACAACTGAATCCCCACACACAAAGCCTAGGAATTCATGGGAAAGGGTTTTCAGGCTTCCACCTGTCTGTGAAGCACCCTGCTCCCTGTTTGGCGTACTGAGGTCTAGTGCGGGCCCTGGCGACCACAGCCTAGCTGGGTGGAGCCGGGCTTCTGCTCTCAGAGGCCAGGGAACCACTCTGGAGGGCACAGGGGATCGACTGGTGCGCCTGAGGATTTTTCCTTTGAAAACCGTAATTTATCTTTCATCTTAACTGCAGGTTGAAATCAAATGTTACTCTTGTTTTAAGCGAAGCAGTCCAGGGCAAGAAATCAGCCTGCTGCTGAGAACAGGGACAGGGCCCAAATATTCCATGGGACTTCTGCAGGGCGTGCAGACATCTCCACAGAGAAGTGCTGAAGATGCACCTCCCGGATGAGGCGGGCACCTGCCCAGTCAGGGTTTGTCCTTTGGGGCTTCGTTATGACTCCCTGACAGCTGTGTGACGCTCACCTTGTAGAGTGCCTGGTCCTTCCCGGCCTCACTTCCTGTGCGCTGCTGTCACTGCAGTGGGAGAAACCTCTCGCAAGGAGGCTGCTCCTGAATCCTTCCCAGGGTCTTGGGTAAGGGCATACACAGGGGTAGGGATACACACGCGCACACACACTCACACACACACACACACTCTGAGTTTTCCATTATTTTGACAATTTCTGTTCTGTCACTTTAGCAGTTAGTTTAAGCCACTTAGTTGCTTTTACAGCTTCAAAATGGTCACATCGTGTGTGATTATAATCCAAAGTCACATTCTATATTGGTGGTATCATCAGATTCGTGTATCGTACATGCCACCCACACCTCTTCCTGACCTCACATGTCCAGCTAAAGGGCTGGCATCTATTAATGGGGCACCACGGGACTTCTGATGCACAGCACAAGCCCGTGCCCGTGGTGTTCCCTGAGTCAGAGCTCCAGATCCCCATGCAGTAACCTCTGTTGGAGACCTGAACTCAAAGATGGAGATTACTTCCTCATCACCAAGGTGTGTGCGAGCCCCTCAAAGTTAGAAGGAGTTGCCACTGCAGGCTTGCTTAGCATCCTTCCCTTATGAGGTAGAAATTTTACAACATGAACTGAGAGTGCTGGTTTTCTTCCTTTCATAGAAAGAACTGTGAAACCATGCCTACCTCCTTCTCCTACTACTTCTTTGCCTGCAATTATAACGTCTGAATTAGAACCAAAATGATACAGAGCTTGTTTAACCAAATTTACAAATGTGATTAGAGTGGTCATCTGTTTGTTTGTTTTTATTTTTGCACCAGGGATAGAACTCAGGTCCCTGCGCTTGTGAGGCAGGTGGTGGAATCACGGAGCTAAATCCCTGGCTGAGTGGTCATTTCTTATTGCTTAAGTTTGTCAAAAACTACCAACACAACCAGAAAGCAGTCTTGTGAAAAAGGTTCTTAATCTTTTGCAGTTCTTATCTTGATGATCAAATCATGACAACTAAAAACAATTTTCTTTCATCACTGAAAATTTTCATGACCATATTTTTAATTAGAATTTTTTTTAAATTCCAAGTCCAGGGCCGGGGATGTAGCTCAGTGGTGCCACTACCTGCCTGGCATGCACAAGTTCCCAAGTTCGACCCCCAGTACCCCCGCAAAAAAATTCCAGTCCATTAAATATGATAGATCTAATGTGCCACAGACTAGACTGAAATTCATTTTTCATTCCATTCTTATTGTTTTACTGTGCCCTTTTAGGTCTCTGCTTCTCACCATGGATTTTTGTCTTTCACCAATCTCACTTTTCTGACTACATTTGTGTTCTTACACAGTCTGAATCTTAAGCCTGCACAGTGCAGTGTGGTGCATATTAGTAAGTCAGTTTCTCACTCAAGTGCGTTTTACCATTTTGTTTTGTTGTTTCACTTCCAAAGCGTAGCCTTAACCCAGACTGAGACACCCGCAGAAGAGAAGGGAAATGTGTTCTAGTATCTTACTAATCCGTCACAGTTTTCTAATTCTTCCAAATAGGAAGTGACTCTGCTTCTGATCCGATCCGTCACAAATGGGCTATGGCTTGACCCACTATGGTGAAATTCTCTGTAGGCCTCTTTTACCTCAGTGATAGACCTTTGCTTGTTGTTGAAGGCTCTTGTGAAAACTCCTCCTGCTGCCCACTTCTCAGATGTGAGGTGTGCTCTGTCCTGCTGACACCATTGGCTCTGAGGCCTCGCTTAACAGAAGTCCTGGGTACAGTGTACTAAAGACTCAGAGAGGCCCTGTCTCAAAACAATAAATAAAAGGGGGCTAGGATGCCACATGTAACTCACAGCAAAAGCCCTCAGTGAATGCATCAGTCCTGGGATTTTCTTAATTGGGAAGCTCTTTACTACTGCCTAGATTTTTTTGATCATTATGGGGCTTTTTTTTTTTCCAGTACTGGGGATCGAACTCAGAACCTTGTACTTGAGAGGCAGGCACAGTTCCACTGAGCTAAATCCCTGGCCCATCTTTGCTTATTTTTGGATTGTTCAAAATATTTATGTCTTTGATCAGTTTTGGTAAATTTGTATGTGTCTAGGAATCTGTCCATTTTGTCA